CGCCAAGCGGCCAATGCTGTGCGCGTCTTGCTACATTCAACGGTCGCATGCACCTGGTGGACCATTTGGCGTCGGATTCATCAAGATGTGTGAATATCTTGTACAGTGACCCCTCGTGTGCTATATCAGATCCGTGCGCGACGGTAACGGGTGCCGCGCCCTGCTACCATATCCACTACCCCGACTTTGAGGCGCCTGCGATAGGGAGGGTCCCGGGCATACCTAATGGGAGACGCCATGTGATAGTCCCCACGGTGCGTGCAGAGGGGCCTCTACCACAGTACGCATCGACGGTGCATGGTGAGATGTGTCAGGATGATGCCCGCATTGCATTGCTCGAGTCTGACCCAGTCTTGTCTGAGGATGCGGCTGCCGACCTGATGCCGAACAGACGTTTTGACGCCGATGCTGCTGCTCCGCCGCCGCCGCCTGCCGCGGATGTTCAGTTCAGTACAGAGCGCTACCCAAGTCGATTATTCTTGACAGAGCAGCGCACAGGGATTGCTGCAGCGTCCGCCCCCATACACGCACGGCGCACTGAGTACTTTGCGTTGAATGTATATTGCGGGCGTCGGAGGGCTGGAGATATTCAGGCACATCTAGATTGGTCCCACCATGAGGCTAACTATTGTATACATGTGCTGTCGGTAGATATTGCGATCCACGCGACGTTAGGTGATATGATGAATAGAAATACCCTCGTGACGTGGAAGCGGCATATTCGAGATCGGCGTGTTGTTTTGTCTGGAGGGGGCCCCCCATGTGAGACGTGGTCTGCGTCGCGATGGTCCGACGGCCCTGGGCCCCCCCCCCCCGCCCCTTTACGTACACACGACGCCTTCTGCGGAAAAACCAACGTGACACCACGGCAAATGGAACAGTTGTGGGCGCGTAATGCGTTGCTCCAGGCCATGGTGGAACTGTTTGCAGTGCATTTGGAGGTGGGCACCTCCTGCTGGATGGAGCATCCACAGCCTCGCGGGTGGAGGCTACAGGCAGTCAGTTCTTTCAGTTGGCACCCTCCCCGCGCACTGGAGTCGTCGCCCGCTGTAACCACCGCGGACTTCGACCAATGCGAGCGCGGACAGAGCTCACGTGCCCCGACACGTATACTAGCCCTTAGGATGCCAGGGCTACACACAGCACTCCTCAACACGCCTGGGCGGGGAAGGTGCTCGCACGGAAGGGGTGGACATCGAACCCTGCTAGGATACGATCGGAAGTCGCGAGCTCAGCGAACGGCCCAGAAAAAAAAGACGTACCCGACTGGGTTATGCCGATGTATCGCGGACTGCATCGCCACCACTATCAGCGCGATGTTCGACGACGAGTCGGGATCACATGGCGACGAGTTCCCGTGTGATATGCGCGACGAGGAAGCGACGCGCCAGGAGTTGCTACAGTTCTGGGCTGCTTGGGATCCGTACGCGGGCACAGAAGAGTCGTGGGTCACAGATTTTGTGTCCAGAGCCCAAAAGCGCGCCCGTCCTGATCCAGAGATGGAGAGGTTCCTGCCCGCGCCTGCACCACAGGAGGCAACGACGGAACCAGTCGCTCCCCAGTCCCCACTGGCTCAGGAAGCGGAGGCAGAGGAGGAGGGAGGTCAGGCAGCTTGGTGCGAGGGGGAATCTGTTGTCGCGAGGGAGTTCTTGGATGAGCAGAGCCGAGGGCCAGCACCGCTGACTGCGGTCAAACTGTCAGAGAGTCAACTGCAGCGTACCAGGGCGAATAGGCAAGAGGCACGTAGACGGCGAAAGGCGAAGATAGAGGCTGAACGCGAGGCCAGGCTGCGTGTTGTTGCGCCATGGACCACGGATCCAAATTTCAGATTTCACCTGTTCGACTAGTCCCAGCAAGAGGGTAGGTCGTTGACAGGAGTGTTCAGTATGCCTAAGTCTCCCCCTCCCCCCTCGTTCACCTTCCCCTCTCACCGTGCTCCGCTCATGCGCGTTGTGAGTAGCAGTCATGGGGTAGCAGAGCTGGGTTGCATGCAGCATTGCATGCCCTTTCTGACACATGGCAGTGATGGGGTAGAAGGGTGGGCGGCTACTTTGCCTCATGATGTCATATGCTTGGCCCCGCGAGCTGGCAGCGGGCCGAGAGTGCGAATAGCGTGCCCCGCCATGCTGAGCTGAAGATGTGGCGTCCGCATTGCACATGATTTCCCGGAGGGGGTAGACCCGTAGAGCCCACACGGGTGCCCACGATGGCTTAAATTCGACGGAGCGTGTATCCCTTCGGGTCCATGGGGTATCACTTTCATGCGTTCACCTTCCGCTCCATCTCCGCACCCTCCCACGCGCGCTGCGAGCGGCAGAGAAGGGGTAGCAGGGTCGGGTTGCTGCAGTGACGGGGTAGCAGGGAAGGGTTGCTGCCTCTTGCTGTCGCTACTTTGCCCGCCCACTGCTTGCGGACATCGTGGAGTTCGTTTGCCAAGACCGTCTCTTTGCATTTTGTGGTGCGTGTCACGTGCTGGTGCTCACGTGCTGGCGGCTTGGCCGAGTCTGCGAATAGCGTGCCCCGCCATGCTTTCTGGCGCGTTGGTGCCCGCAGCGGACACGCTGAGAGGCGATGCCCTTCTCCCCTGCTATCTCCCCTGCTCCTCTATGTTCCCCTCGCTCATCCCCCACTCGTGCACCGTTAATGGCTGCGCCTGTTTCGGCAAGAGTTGCTGTCGGGGTGGGGCAGTGGCTGGGGGGGGGATTGGAGTAGACTTGACCTGTACTCCGCCCGTTTGGGGTCGGAGCTTGGTCGTGCCTTAGCGACACACGGCGCCAACCTGTCATACCTAGTGGGAGGGTTTGGTCGGGGGAGGACTTATGGGGTGGATGGGCCGTGAACATGTACTCTCCTTGGCGCCCGTGCTTTAATGCTTTCGGATGCTCGTTTGTATGAAGCCAGCTGAGTGCCGTCATCATCTGACCGCTGTCTGTGGCGAATCAGGTCGCTATTCAAAAATTCCGCCTCCTGCCCATCCGCAGGCCCCATTATTTGTGATCGTTGCTGTGCGCGTGCACGACGTGAGCACTCCCGCCGGGTTGGCTCCTATTACTCTGCGAGGTTCCAGCGTCCGCCAGTAGGTGTTGCATTCGTAACCGATATGTTTTCGTGGGTGGATGTCTTCAGCCGCCTCTTCCTGGGATCCGTCCTCCGCCCCCCCTTATTTCGTTTGTGCATGGGCATGCTGAGCTCACGCGGTCAATCACAGAGCTGCGTGCAGTTCTTTTGCGCACTCGTTAAACGGGACAGTTCACTTCGGATTTTCTGTCTGACTTGAGCTTAGGTCAGGACCCTCCTGTTGTCGCGCGGTTCTGTTGCAATTCATTCGGCACTTGTGCGCGAGGCGGTGGTCACAACCATGGCGCTGTGCGCACACCGGCATAGGTGCTGACTTGAGTTTATGCCAGTCCTCCAGCGTTCCTCCTCCTTCTCCTCCAGTTGTTTCTTGGTTTCTTCCGCTCCGCCTTGCGGTAGGCAACCCGAACCTAGTGATTTAACGTATGGGGTGCGGTGTGCTGTCGGGGAGCGCCTGGAGAGGCTTGTTTCCCTCACGTACTGATAAGGAAGATTCAGCCCTACGCGCAATGCATTGCGGTTTGTTTGTCCTGGTCGTACTTTCGCTTGCGGCGACGAGCAGCAGTTGGGTTTCTCTTGTTCCTGGTTTGAACCGCCCGCAGGAATCGAATCGACCGGGCATTACACGACCACCGTGAAGATTCGATCGCCTGGATGTGTAGAAAACTGATTCTCCCTTTCCCCATCATCAGCAGCGGCCGCATCACCGTCATCGTCACCATCAGAATCATCATAATCATCATCATCATCATCATCATCATCATCATCATCAGCAACGTCGTCATCGCCATCATCAAGGTCGTCGTCGTCGCGCGGAGGGTCGCGCGTGCAGGTTTCGACAGATGTTTGGACGTCTCGATTAAAAGTCGTATAGCCCCCCGAAGCAGCAGCAGGGAGCAGCAGACACCATAACCCACCAGCTAAAACCAGCAGACACGAACATATACCAGCAGAAAACCAGCACAGGGTAGCACACACCAGAAGACACCAGCAGAGAGCAGCAACTATCATCAGACAGTAGTGTAATGCCAGCAGACAGCAGCAAGAAACCGCAGAACATTGAAGAGACCAGCAGCGACCACCAGACAGTAGCTCAAACAACATAAGCCCGCAAAAACTGGCAGAGACTAGCGCACACTAGCAGTGGCCAGTAGAGATCAGCAGAGACCAGCACAGAACAGCCCACACCAGCAGACACCAGTAGGGACAAGCAGGGAGCAGTAGGGAGAGACCAGCAGAGAGCAGCAGACATCAGTAGAGAGCAGCAGACAGAAGCAGACACTGGCTGAAAGCAGCTGAGACTAGCATTGGCCAGCTGAGACTAGCGCACACACCAGCAGATATCAGCAGACAGCAGCAGAGACGAGCAACATCAGCAAAGACCAGCTGAGAGCAGCAGGCAGCAGCAGAAAGCAGCAGACAAAAGCAGACACCAGAAGACACAAGCAGAGAGCAGCAGATACCAGCACACACCAGCATACTCCTGCAGAGGGCAGCACATAAACATACACCAGCAGACACCAGCAGAGCCTGGCACAGAGCTGCAGATACTAACAGAAACCCACAGAGACCAGCAGAGATAAGCAGTGTGCAAAAGTGGCCAGCAGAGGTGAGCAGCGACCAGCAGAAGCAGCACAGATCAGCAGAGTCCAGCGGTGGTCATCAGAGACCAGCGGGATCCAGCAGACACCGGCAGAAACCGGCATAGCCGAGCAGACGCGAGCATACACCAGCACAGACCAGCAAGGAACCGAAGAGACCAGCACAGACCAGCAGAGACCAGCCGAGACCAGCAGAGAGCAGCAGAGGCCAGCATACACCAGCGGGCATCAGCATCGGCCAGCAGTGACCAGCAGAAGCCAGCAGGCACCAGCTGGCGGTAAGCTCTCGGAGCGTTCTGGTGTGCTCTGGGACAGCCGCGGTGCCCGACACAGTCCTCCAAGCCCGCCGGTTCTTAGAGATCTCCGACTCCTGTCGCTCCGGAAGTAGATTCGTTTTGTCGTCGTCTTACCTATTGCTTCCGTCGCCCCCGCGCTGCTTGCCCACCTTCCTCAGAGCGCGCGGCATGGCGCCCGCGTAGGCCGTTCCCGCGGGGGCCGCCCGAGCAGGCAGAGCCTCTCGGCCCCCCCCTCCCCCGGCATCCGGGGCCCCGGCGATCCCAGATGTGAGGCATGTTGTTTGGCGCCCTGGACTGCTGCGCCGCGAGCTGCTACAGGCGCCTTGAGGAGGCTTCGCAGTTCGTGCAAGGCCGCGCAGGGGCTACAGCTTCGCAGCAGGAGACCAGGTGGTTTGGCGGGCTGGACGGCTGCTCCACGAAGTGCTGCAGGTCTCTGGAAGAGGCACGGGGGTTCATTCAGAAGCTTGCAAGCGTCCATGGGAGAGGCACGGGGGTTCATTCGGAAGCTTGCAAAGGGTAAAATGGCGGAGCAGGGATGGACTATCATGGCTGAAATCCCCCCCGGCGACGCGTTCAATGTCAATGTCTGGGCACGTGCAGCGGGGATGTAGGTCAAGCGATGCGCTCGCGAGAGGGAGTCACACGAGACAAAACTGGCTTCTCGGATGAGGGGGCAGTGTGGGGGTGGAATAGTCCAGCGACGATAGAAGCCCGCCGCAGGTGCATTCATTCCGATGAGAGGGAAGCTTCTCACAGTGTCCCCCTCGCAGCATCACACGAACACCACACACAATTACATTGTTGCTGTAGTTACAACGTTACTTTGCAACTCTGTGCTCCGAGGTACCAAATGGCACTTGGCACCGACACCGACGCCGACGACAACAGCGACAACGACGACGACGACGCCGCCGACACCGACTACGACGACACCGACGACGTCTCCAACGACTTCGACGACGACGACAACGACGACGAAGACGACGACGACGACGACGACGACACCGACGACACCGACGACGACGACGACGCCGCCGCCGACGACGACGACGACGACGATGACAACACCCACGACGACGACGACGACGACGACGACGATGACAACACCCACGACGACGACGACGACGCCGACGACGACGACGACGACGACGCCGACGCCGACGACGACGACAACGACGACGACGACGTCGCCAACGAAGACGACGACGACGACGACGACGAGGGAGGAGGGAGGACGGCGACGACGACGACGACGACGACAACGACGAGGGAGGAGGGAGGACGGCGACGACGCGAACGACGAAAATGAAGGGAGGGCGGCGACGACGACGACGACAACGGCGACAACGACGAGGGAGGAGGGAAGACGACGGCGAGGACGACGACGACGACGACGCCGACGACGACGACGACGACGACGACAGCGACGAAACAGGAGGGACGACGACGAGACGCCGACGACGGACGACGACGACGACCAGGGAGGAGTAAAGACGACCACGGCGACAACGACGACGGAAACGACGATGACGCCAAACAGGACGACGACGACGACGACGACGAGGAAGGACACGACGACGACGACGGGAGGAGGGAGGACGGCGACGACGACGACGACGACGCCAACGAAGACGACGACGACAATGAGGGAGAAGGGAGGACGACGACGGCGACAACGACGACAACGACGAGGGAGGAGGGAGGACGGCGACGACGCGAACGACGAAAATGGAGGGAGGGCGGCGACGACGACGACGACGACGACGACGACGAGGGAGGAGGGAAGATGACGACGGCGACGAAATAGGAGGGACGACGACGAGACGCCGACGACGGACGACGACGACGCCAAAGAGGACGACGACGACGGCGACGAGGAAAGACAGAGGACGACGACGGCGACGACGACGACGACGACGACGACGAGGGTGGAGGGAGAACGGCGACGACGACGACGACGACGACGACGACGACGTAAGAGCGCGCGCGCACGCTTGTGTTGAAAATCCGTGTTGCGAAACCCTTTGTTTTTGTATGTTTTTGGGACAGTCGATTTTGAAATATTGCCGAAGCCGCAGGTTTTTGAAGGATGTCGGCGTGCGCGCGCGACGACGCGCGTGCGTGCACTTCGTCACATTTTTTGCAGAGGATTCTCGCGACGGCACGCGCGAAAGGGCGTTCGAAAGATTTCGACATGCGCGCGCGCGAAGCCCGTTTGGCAGCATTTTTTGAAAATGTTGAAAATCAAATGGTTTTCTGAAGATTTCGCAAGAGCCGGTTTTAGAAAACCAGTGTTGCGAAACCATGTGCGTTCTATGTTTTATAGTAGCTCGACTTTGAAATTTTTCCGGAACCGAAGGTTTTGAAGGATTTCGGCATGCGCGCGCGACGACGCGCGTACGCACATTTCGTCTTATGTTTTGCAACGGATTATTGGAAGCTTATGTTTTTTTGATGAACGAGTGTGCGCGCGCAGCATGTTTTGCAGAGGATGGCGCGGGGGGTCGATACCGGCCTGGCTGAGATACTACGAATTCCCAGATCGGATGGACATTGGGTCAGAAGCCTATGTGTTTTGCGTCGGTTCCCGGGGGGTCTTGAACCCGGGGGGGGGAGGGTGGCAGAACCAATTTTGTCAGGAGGGAAAAAAACACGCAGACACAATTAATCGTCGTTTCTCCAGAAATTATGGGAAAATCTGGGAAGTGGGGGGGAAGACGAAGACGGAACCCCAAAAATAGAGGGAAAGATGGGGGATCTTTTTATTTTTGTGTGTCTTTCTTTGTGTGTCCCAGGGCCCCTTCATTTTTTCCAAGAAGAGAGCACCTGCGAGGCGCAGGCGATGCTGCCCACACGACGGGCGGCGACGAGGCGCCCACGGGGGCGGCGACCGCGGACGGCCAGGCCGCTGCGCCGACGGCCAGGCCCAGACGACGACTGCGGCGGCGAGGCGGCGAAGGGCGGCCGCGGCGACCACCGAGCTGCCACACCGACGCCTTGGGCTCAGACGACGGGCGGCGACGAGGCGGCGACAGAGCGGCGACGGGGAGGCGACGGCGACCACGGAGCCGCCCGACCGCCGGGCCGGGCCCGGAGGGCGACGGGGCGACGGGGCGGCGACGGGGCGGCGGCGGCGGCCACGGAGCCGCCAGGCCGCCAGGCAGGCCCAGCTCGTGGCGAGAAGCGGGCGGGATCCTGGAAGCGCAAGCAGGGTTCGAGGAATGCCTGTGATGATAGCTGTAGACACAGGAAGGAGGCGGAGGAGGAGGAGGAGGGGAAGAAGAAGAAGAAGAAGAAGAAGAAGAAGAAGAAGAGGAAGAGTGCCAGGAGACTGCGCGCCGCGACGCGCCCTCCTTTGGCGCACCGCCAAGCCCAGACCCCCAACATCTCTGCTTCCCGAGTCTTCTCCTGGCCGCCCAGGGCCCGCTCCGCGGCCCCCAGGAGGCCGAGCACCGCCGACGCCGTCGCGACGCGAGGGGGGTCTGGGAGCCTGGGGGGGAGGTGAAGGCGACGGGGAAGGAGAGGGGCACTGAGGGCAGCGGTGACGAGGGAGGGGTGGGAGGTGAAGGAGGAGCGTAGAGGGAGAGAGGGGGGCCCAGAGATCCAACGCACTGAAAACATCAAGACGGAAGTTTTTCGCAAATTTCGGCCCCTAGGGGCTTTCGCCGGGCCTCAGGACCGTCAAACAACGACTCAGGATGAAAAACCGGTCCTGGGGAATGGGTCGAGATTTCCGGGGATCCCGCTTGGAAAAAGTCACGACATCGGATCTCTGGGGGGGGGGGAGCGACCACCGCGATGTAGCAGGCATGGAAAGTGGGCTTCCCACAGGGGTGGCGACCACTGACCGGGGTGGTCTCGCAGGCCGGTTCCTGCCCAGATTATCGGGACCTCTCCGCTAGAAGTGCCGTTTTGGCGCGGTAGGCGGGTGTCTTCCCAGAGAACAGCAATAATCACAGCGCTGTAGCAGGTGTTCTATGTGGGACTCCCATGATTCGACTACACGTAACAGTGACACCTCGCCGGAGTGACCCGTGGTACGGGCCCACTGGGGCCCCCGATCGCCGAGTGCAGTGCGATAGTGGCGTCTTGCGCGCTTCTGTTTGGTCTCCCCCGCGGCCCACAAAAAACCGCGCACCAAAGATCACTTTTACCAAGGGTCACCCTTGCGTGTAGCCGAAAGATCCCCGCGTTGTTGCAGGCATGGCGTCCGGGCCGTGAGGGAAAGTTATCTCCGCGTCGGAAAAAAAAATCCTGGTCTTCTGTCGACTGTCCCGGGCCTCTCGACCCCTTCCAGGCGAACCCGAGTTGAATCGCGGATCGTTTCTGACAGTCCCTCGGCCCGAAACGGCCCCTTGGGATGCTGAAAAGCATCGGCGGCGAGCCCAGGGGGGAAGTGAGAAGGGGTGGGCCTTCTCAGAAGGCTCGAAGTCCCCCCGGCCTTCTGAGAAGCTTCCTGCGCCCTCCCCGAAGGCACAGAACATTTGTCAGAAGGCGCGAGGCCTTCTGAGAAGCCCCACCGCCTTCTTCTGGGAAGGCCTGCTCCTTCTCGCTTCCCCCCCTCGCTCGCCGCCGAAAGCAGCCCACGACTTTCCGCCTCGGTTCGTCCAGGACGCCCAGGAGCCCCTGGGCTGGGGCGGCTCGCGCGGCAAGGGAGGCCACGAGGAGGGCCGCGCTGTCGCCCAGCCCCGACACTTGGTAAGGTACCAAGGGGCATCCCCAACCGATGTGCAGCATGCAGCCCCCAACCGATGCAGCCACATCAGCCTGCCCATCCAAAGCGGGCACGAATCGGGGAAGCGCAGGACTCGAGTGCACCGGAACTCGAGTTCGCCGACGTTTTTTGACGAGCGCGTCTTGGGTTTCGACGGTCCAGTTTTCGTAGGATGCCTGCAGTCGAAGCTCGCGTCAAATTTCAGATTGGGTCTCGTCATTTTCATGATGGCCCCGTCAGGCCAACCCGAGTTTCTCGACATCGAGCCTTACGTCTCCACAGTTTCAGAGAGACATGCAGCTCTTCGTGAAAGCTGCGGAGGGAGAGTATGCTTTGCACTCTCCATGGGGCCAGCGTGAGGCGACCTCCCAGGGGGCGCAGCAGAGTGGCGGCCGTTGCGCGCCCGGCAGCGCCCGGGGAGCGCGAGGTCCAGTTCGAGCCGCGCAGGGCGCCGCCCCGCTGGATCCCCCAGGGGGTGCAGCAGAGCGGGGACCGATAGGGTTAAGTCGGGCTTGTCCCTCTACAGGAGGAAACAGTCTGGGGACGATTTTTGGACCGACCTCACAATACGGCCCAGCACGGGAGGGCTGGGGGGAAGCAGGGAACGACAGAGAAATCCACACAGCGCCCGCCAGCCGCGCGCCAGTCGGGGGGGGCGAAAGGGGGTGGTTGTCGACCGGCAACGACCGACGACCAACGGCGACGACCGACTATCAACGACGACGACGACGACAACGACGACGACAACGACGATGGTCCGCCGAAGATGTCGAGGAAGGGGGGCTACGACATTTGCATGACGATGACCTCGACCCCACCTCTTGACACCTTGCTCGATGCGTGGCCGCCTCTGGTGCCAGGACGCGCCAGGAAAAACAGCTGCATGCAGCTGCAAAACAAATGCAGCTCGACCACACGCAAGAGTGACCCATCGCCAGAGTGACTTCTGGTGCTGGCTCATTGGGGTCCTCTTGCTCGCTGCAAGCGATGCGATGCCAGCGGCCTGCGCGCCCGGGTTTTGCCCCCCCCCCCCCCCCCCCCCCCGCGCCCTTCCGGGAGGCCGCGCACCAGAGGTCACTCTTGCCCAGGGTCACTCTTGCGTGCAGCCAAGCAAGCAGCTAGCTACGATGGGGGCGTTGGCTAGGGAATGTGCCCAGGAGGCTTCAGACCCTGGAAGGTTCCTTATCTCAGAGCGTGAGTTACCTACCCCGCTTTCGCTTCCAGGAAAAACCAAGTCATACCACGCGCCTCCTCGTCAAGCGACCTGACCAGTACAGGCCGTAGTTTGGCATCGCTTGGTATCTCTTGGAAGCGAGGGTGGTCAAAAGCGAGGTAGGTTTGTTTTCCCCTATCATCCGAGGTTCGATGGGGGCTTCGGTGATATCATGGCCACGCCTCAAGTGAGCGACGCAAAAAAAGGGTCGTCTGCGCCGACATTGGCGCGTAAGCTGCCCGCGTAAGGTCGCGCGTAAGCGCCCTCGTCTCCAAAGTGGCGTGCCGCGCTGGTGCCCCGCGTAAGCCACCGCGCAAGGTCGCTACGTCATCTCGCGCAAGACCCGTTTTTTCGATCGTCGCTCAATTGGCGTTCCACGGGCTTGCAGACACTGGATTCCTGACCCACGGGTCCCTGATCAAGTGGCCGCACCGTGTGCCCCTCCTTCCAGGAGGTCCGCCGATGTGTGTTGGGTGTCGACCCGCGGGCCCCAGAGGTCTACCCCCCCTCCCGCGGGGCAGCTCTCCGTGCCCCAGACCCGTGTGTGGGTGCCCCCGGGGCCCGGAGACCGCCCCCAGAGGCCAAGAGATGGACAGCAGACCGCCAGGAGATAACACATCGCAGGGTCGGAGCCCCAGGCCCAACGTCGCAAGCAGCTGAAGCACCGTCTTTTCCTCCTCCTTTTCCTCCTCCTCCTCCTCCTCCTCCTCCTCCTCCTCCTCCTCCTCCTCCTCCTCCCGCGCCGGCCCTCTGCCCTCGTCCTCCTCCTCCTCCTCGTCCTCCTCCTCCTCCTCCTCCTCCTCCTCCTCCTCGTCCTCCTCCTCGTCGTTGTCCTCCTGCCCCGGAAGCCACCTGCCCTCTTCCCTGCCACACCGAGCTGCGATGGCCCCGGTTTCCCGAAGCGGTGCAGGAGCGCCCAGGGCGCAGGGGCTGCAGCGCCTGGGCCTCGGGCTTGGCATCGCTCGGACGTGTGCATTTTTCCTTCGGCGAGGACCATCGAGGAGCATCCTTGACCACTTGGCGAAAAAAAACACGCACGAGACCGAGAACAACACAGGGAATGGACGTCCAAGCGATGGCGAGCGGGGCACCCCCCTGGCCAGGTGGGGTGCAAGGACATCGCCGTCCAGGTGTCGATCGAGGGCGTCGGCGACGTGCCCCCGCTGACGCTGGGCGACGAGCGCGTGGTCAGCCCGCAGCTCGTGGCGCCCGCCGCCGCGGAGGAGCGCGCCGCGGCCAGCGGGGGCCCCGGGCCTGCGACGCCGCGCGCCAGAGGAGGGCGAGCCGAGGCAGCGACGGCTGGGCCTCGGGGGCCCCCCTCCTCTCAGGAGGGGAAAAGCACACAGACACAGTTAATCGTCGATTCCCCCGAAAATATGGGAAAACATGGGGAGTGGGGGGGGGGGGGAATACGAAAACCCAGAACATATGGGAAAATAGGGGGAGTCCTGCTGCGTGTGTTTGTTTATTTATGTGAGTCCCAGGGCCCCTTCGTCCTCGCCTCGGCTGGGCGCAGGTCGGCACACTGGTGCGCCCGGACCACGTAAGTTGGCCCAGGGACCGGTCTGCAGCTGCCGCTGTCTCGAGTCGCCCGGCTCCGAGCGCGCGGGCCTTGGGAGGCTGGTGTGGGTGTGCACGGTTCCCCCTGAGATCCGGGCGCCGCGAGTGTTTCGCGCCCGACGACGTCGCCCAGGTTCGGGTTCCCATGGCCATCACGGATCCATCCGCAGGCCAGCCACAATTGGGGGAGCTGTGGTCCTTACCCCCCTGGGGGACCCAGCGATTTCGACACCCCTCTCGAGAGATCGTCGATGCGATGGGTTCCCCCAGGGGGGTAAGGACCACAGCTCCTGGTCGGATCCGGTTCGAGAAATGCGGCAGAGAGATGGTGTCTGGGCCTCCGACCGTGATTATTGGCGATGTCTTCATTTGTGCGCAACGTCTGATCTCAGGCCCGTGGATGGTTCTCAATACGGGTGGGTGTTCTTGGTCCGCTTCGCACGCAGACGGCATCTATGCACAACCACCGTGCTTGGCCAGGGCCATCCTGGGCCCTGGCATGGTGCATGCGCCCTCCTACGCGAGGCCAGGAAGTCCCATACACTCCTTCCCGGGTCACAGGGTGGCCATGGCCATGCATGGTTGTGGATAGATGCCTTCAGCGGATTCCCGGCGGACTTCGTTTAGACCTCAGGAGACCTCCAGAGGCCCCCCAAGGTTTTCAGAGCCCAAGGATTTGTTGATCGAATTCATTTTCTAACGATCTCACGATCTATCAATCGATCTCACAGTCTGCACATCGACCTCATGGTCTGTCTTTCGATATCACGATCTACCGATGCCACTTGTGACCTAACCATCGATCTCTCTATCGACCCACTTACCCTTCTATCGACAGCACTTTCTATCTGTCGATCTCACTATCTATCCACCAGGCCAGCGGGGACTTCTGGAGACCCCCGCGGAGGTCTGCAGGAGGCTCCCAAGATCCTTCGGGAGGCCTCACGGAGGGCTCCGGAGGCCTCCAGAGAACCCAGATCTCCAGCGCCCCGAGACAGTGAAAGGCGAGGATGTTTGGCTAGTCCCTGGGACCCTCGCGTCGCAATCTCGTCGCGCCCTGGGACTTCGCTCGTTCTCGGGCCCTGCGAACCTCACAGACCGATCCAGCTTAGAATATGCACCGGGAAGATGGGTTCTAGGGCTCCTGCCGTGATATCTGACGACGTTCCAGCTTCTTCGCGACGTCGTAGGCTTCCGACTTGCAGGGGGCCACCTGTTGGGCCCAGGGGTCCGACGGAACCCCGTTTGGAGTAAGAAGCCTGTCCCAGGGGAGGGGCCGGAGATCGAACGGGGCTAGGACGAGGATAAATCCATGGCAGAGCGTTCCAGAACGCTGTCAGAGCGTTCCGGACGCTTCGGGAAGGCCGCGGCGCCCGAGACATCTTCCAGAGCCGCCGGATCTCAGAGATTCTCGATTCATCCCCACCCGATTGTTTTCTCGTCCTGGCTTCGTCCTAGGTGCGGAGAGAACGAGGAGGTGCACAGACATCATAGGCTGTCGGGTCCGCTCGGATTTCTTGTGTCTGACCCCATCGGTGCACCCAGGGGACGTCGCGAGGGGCATCCAGCGCCGACCCCAAGGAGTCCGCGAGGGCCCCTGCAACCGTGCCTTTGCAACGTTGCTCGGTCTTCCAGATCGGGGAAGGGGGGGTATGCAGAGGAACATTGGGGCGCGCGCCCAGAGGGGCCACGGCTCACGGGGGTCAGCCGATCCCAGCCAGTCCCCCCTAGCTGACCCGGGTTGGCGAGCTACGTGGAGCCGATCCCCCGCTCCCTCCCTCCGCTGACCCAGGTTCTCGGCATCGCTCGGACGTGTGCATTTTTCTTTCGGCGAGGACCATCGGGGAGCATCCTTGATCATTTGGCGAAAAAGCCACGCACGAAACCGAAAAAAGGCCAGGGAATTGACGTCCGAGCGATGGCCAGGGTTGGCGAGCTGCTACGCGGCAGGCCCAAGCTCGCGACAGGACATAGCCGACCCATGGGAACGTTGCCCCGAGTTGGCGCCGCCTGGGTTTCGATTTGTTGGAAGGCCATGAAAGAGATGGACTGCCTAGTTTGCGAGGGTGCGAGAAGGTGGCGGTTGCGAGAAAGCGCGTGTGAGAAGGCGAGGAGGTCCGCGGCAGCCCGCACAGGGCGCGCATCTGCGCACGCCGCACCTGACCTGACCTGACCCATCCGGCACGCCCTCTCCCGAAGTGCTTGAAGGCTCTTGGACGCCCCCAGAATGCAACAAACGTCCAAACATCGTTATCATTGAGGAGGAGGAGGAGGAGGAGGACGAGGACGAGGACGAGGACGACGACGACCAAAACAAACTGAAGATGCATCGGCGATGCTGCAATGCACCCTCCCAAGTCCCCTCCACACAAGTCCCTGCAAGCTTTTCTTTTCACCACGGGAAGCCCCCCCTTGAAGACCAGCCCCTATGGGCCTGCAGCTCAGGCGGCAGCCGCGCTTGGGAAAGGAACTCTATTACATCCTTTTGGCGCCCCATCAGGGATGCGAAATGGTATGAACGGAGTGTCCTGTGATAACCCCGCTTTGAAAAAGGACCGCCCCACATCCGTGCAACTGGTGCACAGGCACTAAGTTTGCGCGTCTGGTCGGGGACTTCGAGGAAGTTTCAAAGCGAGAGCCGCATGTTTGAAAAGGGAGCCGCCCATCCAGGAGCTGCCTCCCATGAGTGCAGCTGGTAAACGTTGAAGCGCATGGTCCTTACGCATCGGTTCGTTGGAAGTAGGTATTTCTGGACCCCCAGATTTCAATATACGTTCACTGCTTTCCTGCTTCAATCATCGAGTGGTTCCGCCTATTCCTTCCACTTCAAGTGGCAGGCGGAAGCCCAGCATACTTGCAACGCCATCTTACTTCATGTGTCCATCCAGTTCGTACGACTCGTGGGAAATCCAAGGAAGACCCCAGCGAGAGCCCGATGTTGAAAACAACGCGCCCCCTCATCCTTGTGACTGCTACAAATCTGCAAGACGAGTGTCTGCGGCGCTGAGGCGAGAGTCCCTTTTGGAAAGGCGACGCCCTCCATCCGCGTGGCTCCTGCCAGCTTTGAAAGGACGAATGCGGGCGGCACAAGATGCACAATCACCCATAGTGAGAAGGAGCTGCTCTCCATCCTTGTCATTGCTGCCAGTTTGTAAGACGAGCGCGCGCGGCGCGGAGACGAGAGCCCCGTTTTGAAAACAAGTTGTGCTCCATCCCAACAACTGCCTCGAACTTCAAGCTTCTGGACCATACATGGCGATGGCGTCTCAGCCGAAACACCCCCCCTCGCCCTACCGACTTGTCGAAGGGCGCGACAGGGGGGGTATGGCTATGAGTACGAGTATGAAGATGTGACAGAGAGACACTGTATGCCAACGAACGCAAGACACCATGTGGAGACATATAATGAATTACGCTCTACCCCGCTGGCGTTTTTCTGTTGGAATTCAAAATCGTGCTCGAGGCCCCTTAAGGTCCTACTGAAGTGCTCTGCACGGGTCGGGGTGATACGATGGGTACACTCCTACGTCAATTCACGCAAGTCGGATGAGGCATACCACCCACACAATTTAAAAGACCGAAGCTTGAGACGAGTCGATTATGGCACAACATGGGATTGATCCACCCACCCACCCGCCACGTGCATCTTAGCAGGGGGGGGGGCTTATATAGCGATGGGGTTGAAAACACGGCCTGGAGTGGGAGGAGGAGGAGAAGGAGGAGGGAGGGATGGAGGGACGAGGAAGTGATAAGGGAAAGAGAGAAGAAGGAGAATGAGGAGGAGGAGGAGGAGGAAGAGGAGGGGGGAGACGGGAATGAGGAGGAGGGGGAGGGCGGATCAAAGGAGGGAAAGAGACAGGACGGAAGAGGAAGTGAGGAGGGGGCGAACCTCGAGATCCGACGTCGCGGACGAACATGGCGAATGATCACAACCAGAGTTCTAGCTTCCATTTGCCTGCGGCTTGTGTCGAGCAGGATATATCCGGGACAGCCCAAAGGGCTTCCGAAACCGGGCGAAAACGCCCCCGCGCGAAAACGAATACGACGCCCAGATATCGTGGGAAGGAGGACCCCGAAGGCAAAGAGTAAAAAGTAACACAAACACAGAAATCGCAACACGGACAATAATACCAATTTTCATTCTGAAGAACAGGAAGAACAAGTTGAACGCAAACAAAAGTAGCACTAGCAGCCATAGCAACAACATTTGTAATACTAGCAAACAGCCAGGACAACTACAATACGGCGAGCAATAACAACGATAGAAAACGGCAACTATACAACTACAACATTGTGAACCGCACAAAGAACAGCCGCATTGACAAAACAACCGAATCACAACACCAACGACGACGACAACAACAACAGCAACAACAACAAACCACGCACACCCACACACACACACACGCATACATACATACACACTCACACATACGCCTTCCTCCAGCGGCCGGGTGACATCACCGCAGCGAGTACTGAAGCGGGGCGCCCTCGGCTCAGTTACCACCCGGCGTTGCAGATGGGCGGTCTGGATGAAAGCGGACGCTTGCAGAAAAACACGAGCTTGCGCACACACACGCACACACACACACACAGCTTCGGATGCAACTCTTGGGAGATCAAATGCTGTTTATGCCCTGGTCCAAAATAATGCTTAATCCCGGTTAACCCGGTTTCATCCGTTGAATCCGGCTTAATCCCGCTTAATCCCGCTTAATCCGGCCTAATCCGAGGCCCACTCCGGCACAACAGCCCTCCAATGGGGCTTCATCCTTGTTAATTTTTCCGACGAAAGCCTCCCATCAGTTGCCTCCTAACACCGCAGGAACAAGCAGAAACAAACAACAAGACGCGCGGTGTCGGAGCTCCCGGGGCCCCGACGGCACGCGCGGCCGTCGGCGCGCACAGCGCCGCGCCGCGCCCGCGGAGGGCGCGCGGCGGGGCGCCGAGAGCGCCGGCAGCCTGTCCCGGGCAGGCCGCTCCAGCCCCCTTTCTTCCTCTCCTCCTCCTCCCCTCTGCCCCCTCTCCTCACCGAGCGCGTTCCCCAGACCCCCTCGAGTAATGAAAAAATCATGACGAAAGGTTTTTCGCCATTTTCGGCCTTTCGGGGCCCTCACCGGGCCTCGGGAGCGTCAAAAAACGACTCAGGATGACAAACCGGTCCTGGGGAAGGGGTCGAGAACTCTGGGGTCGACGTAATGAAAAATTCATTACGTGGGGGGTCTGGGTCCACCACTCGCAAAGTGCCTACTCGCAGACGCCCGACAAGCACGTGTCTGCCTCGGCGTGGTGTATCGCAGATCCCCCGCGGCGGATCCAGGCCACTTGCGAGTAGTCACTTTGCGGGCAGTGGAACGCGCTCGTCTATCCCCGTCCCTCCCCACCGATTACAGCTACAGTTGCCATATGAAGACCCGCGCCGCTGTGCTGGACAGGCTCACCCCGTGAGCACTCCAGCCCGCTCGCGCCGCTGCGCGGGGCTGGATTGCTCCATCGCCCCCCCCGATGTACGGAGCTCCCGCTTCCCGCTTGCGCAGCACACGATGGGTTCTTTGTGGAGTTCAATCCGCTATGACACGCGCAGGTGGAATGAGAAGAAATCGGCGCCACGGGCAGGAATGTGTGGAGGGGTAGGATGCCAGATATGGCGCGTGCATGCCTAGCTTCCCTCTTTCCCCCCCTTGGCCCCCTCCCCCTCCCTCCAAACGTCCCTGTCCCCGGCTCGGCAAACACAGCATGGACGTTTTTCGCCGTCTACGGCGTCTGGGGTCCTCGGCCTCGGGACGGGCGAAGAGCGGCTCGGGATGAAACACCGGTCTTGCGGGAAGGGGTGGAGCTGACCCCAGGGGTAAAAGCACGACATCGGACGTCTGTTGTTGTTTGTCACTTCCTGTCTTCCCCCTTTGCCTCCTCCTCCTCCGCATCCTCTTCCCTCCCCTCCTCTTCCTCCTCACTCCCCTCGTCTCCCTCTTCCCTTCCTCCCCTTGATCGAGTCCATCTGCTATCCTTTCTTGTGTGTTGCAACTTCCCCGATGTGCAGTGAAGTCAGCTGAAGCCCTCCTGTTCCGTACAGCCTCCCAGATGAGGGCAAGTGATCCACCAGTGTCTCCTCCCCCTCCCCCTCCTGCAGGCCTCTTCCTTGCAGATAGTTCCTCCGTGTCGCACAGCAAGACGCGTCGCTTGGCATTTCGTTTGAAATTTCTCTGGCCGTTCTGATATCGAAGCCATAAGTTTTCAATTGTTACTCCTCGGTCGTTGAAAGTAGGTATTTTTGAATTCCCAGATTCCAATCTACTTTAAGGGCCTTCCTACTTCAATGATCGAGTGGCTTCACCTTTTCCGTCCTCCCAATGGGCTGGACGGAACCCAATCTACTTTCAACGATTTCCTACTTCATGTTCCTACCTGCTTCTTCCGACCGATGGGTACACGGATGGGGCACAGGTCGTTTTCAAAACGGGGCTATCGCCTTGTCGCCGCGCACACCCGATTGAAACAAGTACCATTGCAACACGGAGGAGGTGGGGGGGGGGTCTCAATGGGCATTCGCCCTGGCTTTGCGCACCTTATGGCTTTGTAAGGTCGCAGCAGCGACACGGATGGAGGGCGGCTCGTTTTCAAAGCGGTTCCCCGTTTGAGATGTCTTCGAGTCCTGCGACCCGAAGTTGCAGATTGTGTTGCAGGTAAACGAAAGGCTGTTTGTGTGAGGGGGGCGTCGTTTGAGTAGTCCTCGAGCTTTACGCCAAACCTTTACATGTGCACAGCGCTTGCAAAGTTGGAGGAACGATTGTTTTTTGCCCAGCGGAGCTATTGTTAGGCAGTTCGTTGAATGTCATGGCCCTTCTTCTTCGCACGTCTTACAGCTGGAAGGATGGGAGGTGGGCCCACCACAGACTGCGGGCAAGACTGTGTGCCCATACCCCTCGCAGCTTGGAGAGGGACCCGAGGCGCCCCTTCCAACAAGAATCCAGGCGTATTGGCTATGGATATGGAGAGTGCCCGCACAGGCGGCGTGTTTCGCCTGCACGGCAGGCCCACGGGGACGCTCGGTCACGAAGGGGGCACCTCCCGCTGGGGGGAAGGAACACGCACACCTCGGCACTTCTTGGGGAGGGGCTTCGGGACGCGAGGGTGCGTTGCAGCATCGTTGATGCATCTTGGGTGTACACTGGTCCTCCTCCTCCTGCACCCCCACCCCTCCTGCTCCTCCTCCTCCTCCTCCTCCTC